AGCCCTGCCCCAGCCAGAGCAGAGGGGCCTCACCCAGGGACCCACCTGCCCCTGCTATGGGGGAGGCTGCAGAGGTGGGAGGAAGGTCTATGGGTGGGCAACAGGGGGGAGGAGCTGGGAGCCAGGACTCCTGGGTTCTCTCCCTGGCTCTGGGAGGGGAGTGGGATCTAGTGGTTAGAGCAGGGGGGGCTGGGAGCCAGGACTCCTGGGTTCTCTCCCCAGCTAGGGGACAGGAGGGCTAGGAGCCCTGACCCTCAGGATGTGGGAAAGTTAACCCCCCCACCCTTCATCTCTACCCCACAGTCCTGGACACGGCCGGGCAGGAGGAGTTCGGGGCCATGCGGGAGCAGTACATGCGGACGGGGGAGGGGTTCCTGCTCATCTACGCCATCAATGACCGCGGCAGGTAAGGCCCCCCCCGACACTGAGACTCCCCCCCACTACGGCAGCCACCCTGTACCCCGCCCATGAGATCCCCCCACCTCTACCCCCGGCGGCCTGGCCAGGACAGCCCCCCACCCTCAGATCCCTGCTGCCCAATCACACCCTCCTGGGCCCCTCCCCACCGGCGAGGACCCCCCCTCCAGCAGCCCCCCCCCCATCCGCTCTCCATCTCGTCCCCCTGCAGCTTCACCGAGATCAGCAAGTTCCACACCCAGATCCTGCGGGTCAAAGACCGGGACGACTTTCCCATGATCCTCGTGGGCAACAAGGCCGACCTGGACCTGCAGCGCCAGGTGAGAGGGGGTGGGGCCAGAGGGGACTCTGGGCTCCGCCCACGCTGGGGTGTCCTGATGGGGCCCCAGGGCCACTGGGCTCGAGCCATGGTGGCCATCTTGGACGGTGCCCAGACAGGAAGTGCCGCCCCATGGGCCACTCGCGCTCTGTCGGCGGCCATCTTGGAGGGTGCCCAGACAGGAAGTGCCGCCCCATGGGCCACTCGCACTCTGTCGGTGGCCATCTTGGACGGTGCCCAGACAGGAGGTGCCGCCCCATGGACCACTCGCGCTCTGTCGGCGGCCATCTTGGACGGTGCCCAGACAGGAAGTGCCGCCCCATGGACCACTCGCGCTGTCGGCGGCCATCTTGGATGGTGCCCAGACAGGATGTGCTGACCCGTGGGCCAGTCGTGCTGTGTCAGCGGCCATCTTGGACGGTGCCCAGACAGGAAGTGCCGCCCCATGGGCCACTCGCGCTCTGTCGGCGGCATCTTGGAGGGTGCCCAGACAGGAAGTGCCGCCCCATGGGCCACTCGCGCTCTGTCGGTAGCCATCTTGGATGGTGCCCAGACAGGAAGTACCGCCCCATGGGCCACTCGCGCTCTGTCGGCGGCCATCTTGGAGGGTGCCCAGACAGGAAGTGCTGCTGTCTCTCATGGCATGGGCTTTCTGAAGCCCGGAGGCCTGGGTCCCCCGACTGCCCTGGGGCTTTGAGAGGTGCCCAGCTTGTCCCCCGCTCCCACCAGTCGAATGGATTGAGGATCTGCTTGTAATCCTCCCCCTCCAGGTGCCCAAGGAGGAGGCGCTGGCCTTCGCCCAGGAGAATCGCATCCCCTACATGGAAGCCTCGGCCAAGATCCGCCTCAACGTAGACGAGTCCTTCCATGAGGTCGTCCGAGCCATCAGGTATGGGGGGGCGGCTCTGACCAAGGCACCCCATAAAATAGGGGAGTGCGCGCTGCAGGATGTCTCGCCAGGGAGACCCACACTGTGCGTGATATTTCCCCCCAAGGGTTGTCCCCCGCCATGGGGGTAGATTCCTACCAAACTTCCTGTGAGATCCCTCCAAACAGGGCTTCAGTCCCCCCTGACGCCCCCCCTTAACTCTCAGTGAATTGCCTGGGGAACCATCAGCCCCCCCCAATGGGGCATGTCCCCCATTGTGGTAACATGGGGTTTGACTCCCTCAGGGATACCCCCAAAACAGCACTTCCCCTCCCAGTACCCCCAGAAGGGGCACCGCCCCCAGTTTGGGCTCCGTTCATAAGTGTCTCCCCCCTTCTTTCTTGCAGGAGGTTCCAGGAGCTGGAGACCCCCCCTGCTCCTACTGTGCACCCCCCAACTAAGGAGTCCAATGGCTGCCCCTGCTGCATCCTGTGATGGGGGCCCCCCCACAATCTTGCCCCCCCCCCAACACTCACCCAGCTGTGCAAGATGGGGAGAGGGGCGGTATAGTCCATCAGTGTTTGTACATATCTATAAATAGGGGAGACAGAGGATGGGGAGCCCAGGTGATATTTTGGGGGACATAGAAAGGGGGTGGTTCCCCCCTGGTCTGTAGGGGTTGGGCAGTGGTCACCCTGCATTATGGGGTCAGGGGGTAGCAGCTCCCCTCAAAGATGTGGGGTGGCAGGGTGGGAGCCCCATGACAGACAGCTTGTGGCTGGAGAGTTTGTGGGGTCTCAGTCCAAGTGCCCCCCCATGGGCACTTTGCCCCCCACCATTGTACGGGGGTGGGGGCACCAAGCCGGGCCCCATTTCAGTTGGGGAAAGGAGAAATGTGAGACTCCCATTAAGGTACCATGGGTGGTGGAGGTGCCGCCCCCCCCCTCTGCAAGGAGGGGGGAGGTCCCCCAAAGGGTGGGGCCCTTTCCGAAAGGTTGGTCTTTTCTATGCAAAACAAAGCTTTATTGGGAGAGGGGACCCCGGCGTCCGGGGAGGGGGGGGACACGCTGCATTCTGTAGCCCAATCCTGCACAAGGATTCGGGGGAGGGGGGGTGTCCTGTATAAACATGGCTAGTTACCTCACGGCTATTTCTAGGCACTGCTTTGGCGGGGCGGGGGGCACAGCTCATCTCCCTCCCAAGGGGATGGGGGGGGGGCAGGGCAAACAGACTAGTCTGGGGTGGAGCAGAAGGAATTCTGGGTAAGATGCAGCAGGGAGGGGCAGTGGGGGGCAGTGAGGGCACAGAGGGAGGGAGTCAGTTCTACCCCTACCCGCCCCCCCACTAGCAGGGAGCTAGGAGCAAGTTTGGCTGCTTGGGGGCGGGGGGGTCGCCCCATCTGTAAATACCAAAGCCCCTCCCGCACCAAGCGCAGGTTGCATTAAAGTGCCTTAAAGCCAGGGTGGCGTCAGCGTCATTATTGGGGGGTTGGGGGCTGCCCCTTTGGGGGGCTTAGGACAAGGGGAGGCACACTGGGTGCAAGACCCCCCCGCTAGCCCCACCAATGGGGATGGGGATTGGAATAAAAGCCCCAAGATGCTTCGGGGGGGGGAGGCTGAGACAGATTGGGGGCCTCAACCCAGCATCCGGACTCCTGGGTTCTGCTATGTTCCCTGGGGGGGTGTCGGCTCCCATTCGGCCCCAGGCCAGGGAACTGGGGGGAGGGACATAGGCCTCTGGGGGGGGGGTGCTAGCTCCCATCCAGCCCAGGGGTGGAGGGGGGGCTGGAACATGCCCGTTTCAGAGTGCATCTGTCCGTGCCCCCCAGTGATGCCTCGGGAGGGTTGGGGGTGGTCTTTGCAGCCAATCCATTGGGCCGATGGAAGCTGGCTGCCCAGTGATTTTTGGAGTGCCCCCCCCCCACACACCCCCCGCTGCGGGGAAAGCTAGGGGGCTCTCTTTGGCAGAGGGGAACCTGGCTGCAACGTCTCCAAAATCCCCCCGACTTCTCTCCCGCCCGTCCGTTGATCGTGGGGTGCAGGGAGGGGAGG